CACACACACACACACAGAATGAGGCAACATAATTAATGCAGATATTTTTTTACTATTTACTTTTGTTAGGCCAAAAAAGATGCACATGGTGAAATGTATTAATGATACCTTCTAACAGTCCCTTCAGACGCGTTTGTCAGATTCGCCGTATCCATGTCCCGACTTCATGCAACAGCCGGATATACGGATCTCGCTTTGTAATTCAAGTCCTCCAAGTTCTTTATACCCGTATGTCGTATTTTATGTGACTGGAATTTCCATTTTTTGCCGCGACAGCGACACAATTCCGCTCGCTTATTCCGCGCGCCGCCTTTTCTCCATCCAACTCTCTCCTTCCTCCAATTTTATCTCCACGCGTATGACTGTATCCTATATGTCTTCCCGTTTATCTTCGAAAGTCGAGACTCGACCCCGTTGCCTCCTATTAATAAACCACCTTATATACCTGTACATACCTCCGCGCGCGCACACACACACATACGCGCGTGCGAACCACATTGTACACGGACATTTTACGGGCTTTTGAATATTTCCGTCGCGAACGAAAAACTTTGGCGCGGGCGGGCCGCCGCGCTTGTGCGTGTACGCGCGTCAAGCAAGACGAGCAGCGGCGCGGAACGTGCGAAAGTTGACGGACGGAACTTCGTCGAAAGTTTCGCTCCACGGCGACGCTCGTTTGAAGCGCAGAATTTCGTAATTAACGAAATCGCGAGACTGCTGTGACACGGCTACGCAAATGGGGCGAAAACGACGAACTCGCGTTTCGACGTCGTTTAAATGTTGCCGAGGACAGTCGGCGCGCCGTCCCTCCCTCCCTCCCTCCCGTCCCTTTCCTCTTGGATGGATAAGCGTCTCGACGGAAGAATGCTGATGATGATACAAAAGAGTATCGCCGGTATCTCAAGAACAACGAACATCTAGCGGATAGTAATACGAGCTAGTACATACTACATAGTTGGAATATTTCCAGCGGTCGCATATATATAGTTTTCGGCATATTATCGATAATTTCTACCCCTCTGCGTTTTTCTCTATCGTTTTATGAATTCTACAGTGCTCCCATCCGGGTTTTGCTACCAGGATGCATTCGGCCTCTTTGTAGCGCGGACGCGTACGATCCCGACACAACTACACCATACATTCGGCTGCATATATTCTACTTTGTGTAGAAATACGGTGCAATTTCGTCGTCTCCTTGGCATATCTACGGCGTACTTACGCGCTATCTTTGAACAGTTGTCGTCCGGCAATTCGTCTCGGCGCGCGCTCGGCAAAAGACAGAAGCGGGATAAGAAAATAAGGGGACCGGGAGGGATTTAATAATTTTCAAGCAATTTGGATCTTGATTAATACTCCAATCGCTATCGTTTTCGATTTTTCTCTTTCTACGACTTTCTCTCACAATATATATACGTATATATATTACTCGTACTATTTCGATAGAGGACAAGTGCAAAAGAAAAAGACAAAACTAGGAATGGAATCGTGTATATATATGTGTGTGTGTATATATATGTATACATATGTATACATAAATGTTTATATATATATATATATAAACATATATATATATATATATAAACATATCATAACAACGATTCTATTCCTAGTTTTGCCTTTTTCTCTTGCACTTGTCCTCCATCAAAATAGTAACGAATTCCAATACAGTAACAAGATCTCCTGTAAGGGTTTCTTGTTATTTTCCTTATCGAAGCATCTCGGGCATCTCTGATATCGCGATATAATTCATGATCCTCGATTATAACATAATATAGCTTTACATAATAGTTTCTTGTAAACAAACATGTATACGTCTTAAACTGGACCAAGCAACCGAACGCGAACAAATATACAAAAATAAATATTCGCCATACTCATTCAAGTAGGTATACAAGTTTATTCCGTGACTGTTTATTCGTCTTCACGCACGTTCCCTCTGGACACATATGTGTCGCGTGAAAAAATTCCGGAGAACACTTCAGATCGCCGTAAAAGCAAATTGATGTAATGTCAATAATTAGCTCGAAATATGACCCGTGCGATAGGTTGACCATTCAAAGAAGGGTCGTTCCTTCGTTTCACGCACCGACTGGTAATAGCTCGGCCAGGGAGAATTCATTAGGATCCGCGAAATTACCCTCGATCTGTTGCCGTCCCCCGCAGACACAGACCACGATCGCGACATAATATTCGTCGTGGAGCGGAGGTGCCGTCGGCGGCATTACAAGTCTACAACGGCGTAGAACACTTCTTTTTATAGCAACATAATTCATAAAAATACTCGTTTGGCGACGACCCTCCAGGAGCGCTGCCATTTTCGCCACTCTTATACGACGACGACGACAAAGGGTTAAAAAGCGCGTGGTTATCACGAAAGTAGGGGATTTGGAACGCAGCTGGTCTAGCTTTTTCCCGCGTCATGATCCAGAATGACCGTATCTTCTTGCGCGCGACCGAGAGAGAGCGGAAGAAAAAGTTAGAATATTTGCAGTTGTAAAAAGTTTCCTTTTTAAACACGACACAGCGGACGTAGAAAAAAGTTAATATTTATTCGATGAAATCACTTTTTCACGTATAAAAATATATAAATAAATAATTCTAAATAAATCTAAATAAATAAAATAAAAAATTCTCTTGGAATAAAACCGAATATATAATGTAGCCATTACGAACAATGCGCAAAATGTTCAATTTAAAGAGTTAACAATTGAATAATGCAAAATATTAAATAGCACAAAATAAATACGAGGTTTTTATTCGCTGATCGCGAAATATGAAAACGAAACACAAAATTTGCGGATTTGAAAAATAACAATAAAAGCAAAAAGCCGGAATGCTGGGCAGCTCTGTATCGTCACTCTATGACGACAAACGATTCTCCTATCCGCGCTGCTCATCCGCGACATATTCCTCAAGTTGGCGGGCGATCGAACTTTTTCTCTTTGCGAGATTACTTGACTCGCGTTAACAGGTTTTTCGAGTCTCGCGACACGAACATTTCCGAAACAATATTACTTGTTAAGTGCTATACTAAACTCGCGCAACTTCTAATGGACGTCGTTGGGAGCGTTGCAAAGTTTTCTCGAAGGGAAAGCGGCTCGGAAGGGCGGGAGGGAGTATAAGCGAGAGGTGTGTTGCCGCGGAAAAGGAAGACCGGAGTCCGAAAGATAAGGAAGAAAGTTTCGGCGCCGCCGCATGCGATTCACTGCGCGAAGCTCTAAAGGAGTCGTCGCGCTCGTTATATCGGCGTAATCTTCGGTGGGAGGTCTTTAAAGCTTCGTCGGAAAGCACTTGCACTTTACGTGACGTGATTTGCCTATTCTCTGTGACGTAAGAGCGTCGCTTATTGACACTTCCCCTCCCCTCCTTCCCGCGTTTGCGGCCGACGGGGTAATCTCTCGTGTAAACGGCGAGAAAGAGAGGGCCCGTTTCAAGTTTCGCAAATGGAATATTCTCAAGACACCGTAATTTCATGTTTTTCGGCAGTGTTACGATCCTCGGTGGAAAACCCTCGCGAGGGAGACACTCAGTCATAACACTTACTCCGCCGTATACTTAAGTTACTCTAAGAATACAAACGGCGGAAACTGTCGGCAATTCTTTTTTCACCACGCGCAAGTTATAATTGTGGTAATCCTCCTGCTTAAGATAAGATTAATCTGTGTTCTCTTTATAGCTCAACTTCTCCTCATAGACATTATTCCCAGCGTGTCTAATTGCTCCTATCGTTCCCGTTAATAGGACGGACGAAAATAATTACACGAGTTTGTTGCGCGGCCCGAAAAAAAATGACCGGAGATATTCTCGCTATTTATCTTCGACGATTTTATCGAACTTCTTCCCTATTCTCGCTTAGAGCCAAGAAGTACGTCCGGGGTTTCTTCACCCGGCAACGCCGATAACGATACATCAATATGCATGCGATAGAAGCTCCGGCCGCCTCGAGCGATAGAAGGATTGAATTATTCGTGACGTGGCGAGAGAAAGGAAACTTTGTAATAATAACGTAAAACGAGAGAAAGAAAAATCCCGCGCGCCGAATAGAACCTTCTCTCTCTCTCTCTCTCTCTCTCTCTCTCTCTCTCTTCCTTTGCCTTTCTCTCTCGCATGCGCGCATCCTTACGTCGATTTATCGCGTGTCCGTTCTTGCCGCGCGAAAAACAGACACCAGACGAACGGCAGGCGAGTGTGTTAGATTTAAAAACACGAGTGAAAAAAGCCGAGTGGGATAAGAATAAAATCCGTTTTCCGGATTCATTTGAGATCATCCCGCGGCAAGGAGGAGATAACAATTAAGCGGAGAACTCTCTCGCGCGAGCCCCTTCACTCATCCTCTCCCGGGTTACCTTCCACCATCCCGAACGCAAATTGACCCTTCTCCATTGCGCGCCGCGGATTAATTAGAGAGCCGCGGCCTTTTTTCTCAGCTCGTCCCTCTCTTTCCGGACGCGCGCGCTTTTGACTTCACCTTTGTCCGATTCACGATCATCTTCGCGGGGGGGAGGGGGGGGGGGAGGGAAGGGCTATACAAACAGAAGTTCGGAACTGTAATGGGCAGGAGAATAACAGATGAGCAAAACCACGGCGCATCACTGATCGCGCATTAGAAGGTTGCTTCCAGCGCTGTGAATATCGGTGCACGAGTAGTGGCCGATGCAGCTGTACGAGGGATCCGTTTCGCCGGTCGTTAATTGGAGCTTTGGCTCATCAAGCGTCGCCGTTGCTTACGCGATGAAATCGAGCCACGTCGCCGCGACGGTCGAACTCTCAGTCGGCTTACTGTGGGACCAGCTTGTCGCTCGCTCTCTTCTCCCCCCCCNCCCTCTCTCTCTCTCTCCTCCCTCTTCACACACACACACACACACACACACCGGTTCTCGCCTGTGCAACCCCATCCAACCCCAACGCGTGACCGCTTCTGCCCGCTAGTGTTATCCACGTGCTATTCCAGGCTTCACAACGTTATACATATATATCCTATAGATTTTGTGCAAGCTTGGCCATCCGTATAACAGCGGGTGCGCGCTGTAAACGCTCCCATTCGACAGAGATACAATAATATAACATCGATCGCGAAACGTTCTACTATCTTTCTTGCCGTTGCATCCACGCTTTGTTTATCTACGTTATTTTTCTATTAATATGATATATTATTGAGGATTCGGTTCGCGGACGACAGTTTCTGCCGTGCAACGTCTTCCCCATCCCCCCCATCGCGATTCCCCGATGCTGCGAGAGATATAAACGTTGAGAAACGTTTTGCGCTCACCTGCTCGCCATTAACGAACCATCTGAGTTTTGCGGCGGGATAGGACTTGCCACTGGTGCAATTCAGCGCGAGCACGTCTCCGCTTGCGTACACCTTTTCCTCTCCGGTTATCGTTGGCCTTTCCTGAGGTAGTGCTGCGAAACAATTTGAGAAAATTGTTAGATGTACACGTGGTACGTGTGTTAATTATACGACATGACGCTGTTCATTTTAGCTCTACTTAAAGCTACTGTTTCAGTTCTAAGATGACAGAAAAGAGATATATATTGTATAGCTTATTATAAACATGTGTAAAAAAAAAGAAACAAACGCGCGCGCACATTTTTCCTGCAGTAATTCTAAATTGAAATGCATGTATAAAATGATCATTGGACAAGTAAAATTTTTACTATTCAAAAAAGGAGCTACCTTCTTAAACGGAGAAAAAGAAAGAAAAGAACAGAAAGAAAGAGAGAGAGAGAGAGAGAGAGAGAGAGAGAATACGAAGAGACAATTCTTAAAATGCGGACGCTTATCTCGGCCTCATTCGCCCGGAGCGTCTAACACTAAATCCCACATTGTTTCGGCGGCATAAAAACAGCTTCACTCTTTGAGAACTTTGCACGGTAAGGCATATATAAAGTCGGGCACGCCATTAGCAAGAAGTTTTACTGCCACTAAACGCGCTTATTAACCGAGCTTTAGATCTCGTGCATTTTAAATTTTGGCGTATACGTGCCGCCCGCGTTAATGTTCTCCATAATGAAGCGGCCGTACAATACGCCGTCGCGTAGACACGATTAATAGTCGAAGCCGGGAAAGTGAGCTCCATAAGAATGCATCGGGGATTAGGTGCGCTCGCTTGGGAAACACTCGCGAAATTTACGACGACGGCCGGGCTCGAACGCGCGTTTGTTTGACGCGTATATTTTCTGCTGACAACAAAGAATTCGCCTGAATAGAAAAGAAGATGCTTTCTATTATTTCGAAAACTACCGTTAAAACTTGATATAAATTCATAACTTTGTTTAAAATAAAAATTTTACGATTTTTACATAGCACGGTTTTAATAACAAACGTAGAATTAAAAAGATTTTTAAAATGCACGGTATTTTCAAACCTTTTTTGCTAGATTATATGCGAAAATGTTTGAAAAAAAAGACGTAGAATAACAAGATTTCTATAACATTGCAGAAATAAATCCTCTAAAAAGTTTTCTCTTCAAGTTAAGAACACTTCCATTGAAATTAATCTTACTAAATAAATTTTATGAAAACAAATTAATTAAATATAATATCCATGAATAGATATGTATTGATTATGCATGTAAATATATTACATAATCGTTTTCAGTTATATACATACATATTAAATACATATCAAATTTATATCAGTTTTAAGAATTTATTTTCAATATCATCATACATATAGGTATATGAGGAACACGAATGCAATTTCTTGGCTGTAAACTTTGATTCCGGTAGTCGCTTTCTCCATTATAACTAAATCGACTCTATGCATTGTGGCTTAATCTAAGACGAGCGGGTGATTTTTATCAAAATCACTCTCGAAGATACTACGCCGATAAAAGTGCATCTTCCAGATAAGCTTCTAAAGCCATCGCGACACTCCGTTCGGAATATTCAACGAAGCCATTCCAGGTCTTACAATAACCATCTTCCCGATCTACCCGACTGACATTTCCGCCGGAAGCTGCGTTAATATCGTTTTCAACCTACAAATGCCTTTATTTGCTTCTATTTTCAATCGGCTAACTTCAAATGAATTGAATTATACATTTATTTCAATATGCACGAGTATATGAATGTTAATGATTCAACAACCTTTAATCGATTCGAATACAATAGTGTAGGAGAAACATTTATTCAAATCTCTATATAAAAAGTTTTTAAATTTTTTAAAAATTTATTGAATTTACAATGGATAAAAACAATCAATAAATGATATTATTAGCAAAAGTAAAAAACGTACATAATTAAAATTCCGGAGAAAAAAATTTTTTCTTTTAAAAATAAAATACTTTATTAATATAGACAGTGGACATAGATATTGATCGAACAGCAAGTTCCCATGCAATTAATTTTCAGCATGTTTTAACATTTGGCAATAAAGTTATCGTCTTGCCGACGGCGTGGCGACGAAATAAATTCGAATAATTCACGCTCGCTTACTCCCGTTGAAACGCACTAGCTCAACACCGAGAACACGATCGAACTCGCACGTTAGTGAGAAGAGATGAGATGGAAAAAAGGAAAAAACCTCGATCGCCGAGAGAAAGTGAGGCGTAATCAGCCACGAAAACGCAATCGGACGTCTATTTTTATGCAAAGAAGAAAAAGAGTAGATATATCTAAAAAAAAAAAAGTTAAATCATCTCCGATACCAGCTCTACCTGTGATTTCATTTTCCATTTATACATGTTCAATAGAAAATCGGATATTTTATTTTTGTATCTCGATCGTGTCCGATTATACTGAATTTTTCGTGACGGTTCACAGCTCGAGAGATTCGCTGCAATCGCGAAGTGAAAGGCCGCAAGGCGAACGACGCGGGTTATCGATCCTCTTCCGCGGGCCAGCGCGAGGGAGGAAATTTCGTCGCAAAGATGCAGTGGGAGACGAAAAGCCGACAGGCCGGCGAAACTTGGCACGACGACAGCCTCCTCGAGGTTCCTACAACGATCTTAAAATTTTCCCCATCTATCCTACTTCCACCCTCTTCTTCCAGCCTCAACGTCCGTGTCGCTCGCCCTCGCGCTGGCGCGCGAGCATCCCCGGCCTCGCTCTTTCTCTTTTTCTCCGTCCCCTTCGGCGTAGCCCACGGCGGCCTCGGGGCGGCCTCGGCGGCGCCCAGTTACGGCTTAAGACTTACGACGCCGTAATATTTATCGCGTTTCGACGGCTTTATGCACTCTTAAACTTTAATGCCCGCGCTTCGCGCGCCGCGCCGCCCGGACGAATTCAGTGCCCTTCCGCGGAAACGCCGGCGCGAAAACGCACGTCTCCTGTTGCCTCCCTTTTTTTTTCCTTCCGCAACCGACCGAATGACGCGACAAGACGAGAAATAACGTGGTCTTACGGAATTCTGCAAGTTGGCACGCGTTTCTTAGCGATGTCGGTGAGCGCGCGTTACCGATCTCCGCGTTATTAACTCTTTCGCATTAACAAACCAATCATCACGCGGGCTTCACGTCATTCATTTGATGCTTCGGATAAATAGATAAACTCGCAATTAAACATCATGTGAATAGCCTCTATATTGCTATAACGTTATTGCACCGGAAATTTTTACGAGCACACGGTAAAACTGTTATTTATATCGTATAAAAAGTAATTATTTTTTCAATCAAAATTGTTTTCGTGACCCGTAGGCTCTTATTGCGTGCTTTATATTTTTGGTACCCGGACAAAACAAAATATAGAATTATTAAATTCTGTTAATTACATTTCAGCCGACGAATTACACGTCCGTTTTTAAATGTATCTCCTTTATTGAATTGTTAACGACACATGCGAAATTATTTTTGTTTCGTACAATGTAACACAACTTCCGCGCGAGCGGATAGCCGTTTGAGGAATTAACTGAAGAATAAATGCGCTTAATTTACGCATTGTAGTTTACATCTCTCGACGCGGGAATGTATTTTCTTTCTGCAATAATTCCAAAATCCCGTTAACCACACACACAAGCCCGCACTCGCGCTCGTTCACGAATTATATTCATTTGCGAACGGTAGACTGTGTGTTGTGGCGAAATAATTATAAGACGATTACGTCTGCCAATAGCTGGGGCAAGTCCCTCCCGTAATCATGTCTACCTTCCCCTTGTCGAACCGCCTACGCTGAGGTGAGTTAATATCCAACTCGGAGCCACTATGTACCATGGTATCGCCCACTTTGACCGTACGATAATCCTATTGCAACGGATACCGCATCTAGCGTGTGCTTGAGATAATTAGATACGCTTCCTTTGATCCACGTAAGAACGGCATACGCATCTACGCGCACGGCCGCCCCGTATGGGATTGCGTAGTCCAGCACACGGACTGATCGGATCAATGTCCGAAACGTCGCGCGCGTGAATCACGTGCCGTGATTCAACAATCGAACACGTAAGCTTGTTGTTAAAAAATAAAATTAGACCGCGCCTGGATATCGCGCGCCCGATATCCGTGTGTGTGTGTGTGTGTGTGAGTGTGTGTGTCCTCGCGTTTTACTATTTCGTACCTCTGCTTTGTCACGGGATAAATCTGTCATATTTGCAGTATTACGCGTATCGGTCGCTGTACCTCCCCGTGCGAGCTGATAAAAGCGCTCAGAAATCGCAGGATGCACAGAGATCAAATAACAAAAGAATAACAGACAAACAAAAAAAGAGGGCTGATGACGTTTTCATGTGCAGATTATTGATGAATTTGTAACTCCGCACGGACGCGCGTATCGTACGTATGTTCGATGGCGCAATCAAATAAAGAGCTGAACGATTAATCAATCAAACTGTTATTCGTTTACCCGCTTGAACTGGTCAGTGGAGTAAACGATTATCTGTTTGTCCATCTAATCAATGAAGCGATTATATGGCTGTTTTTTATCCATTACAAGGTAACGAAAAATCTAAAATACACAAATATAACGAATTAAAGGAAAGGGATAATTGTACAAGATGTACAATTTTTTTAATTCGACGTTCCACGCTATTATTTCATTCATTAAAATAATTTTTCGAATAACTTCAATAATTAAATTATGTTTGCAATAATTGTTGAATTATTCTGAAGATAGATATGAAATTTACATGGCATGGCAATTTAAAGAAATATAATAGTTTTCTATTATAATTTATATTCAGTTAAATTTGTTATCCTTAATATTAATCAGAGTTAAAAGATTTTAGAAAAGATTGCGGTATTCGATCTTTTTAAATTGTTTTAATTATCCTCGATCACTTTCTCAATTGATGTTTTTCTCCATTAAAGTTATTAATGGTCCTTTATATTTACCATTCGTTTAATCTTATCAAGAACAGCCATTCCAATATATACGAACTTGACATTCTATAATTACCACATTCTCCGACTACTAGATTGTCTTGCGAATTAATACCGAATCTCAGTAGCACTTGCAAACTTACACGGCGCTGTAATTTGATATCGCCAGCACTTCGGTGGTGAGTTGCCGTTAATTTCGCGAACTTAATCGGTCCATCGTAGCTAGATGAACGGTGTAAACGTGGTAGCGAATTCACAGTTAGAGTGGAGGGCTCGTTCCACGGGGAACGTCAAGGATGATGGAACATCACGAAAGATAGCGAGCAAGTATCGACTCGCCGTTTCCGTTTCCATAAGGGCACGACAGTATTCTCTTTCTCTCTCTCTCTCTCTCTCTCTCTCTCTTGGCACGCTGCTGCCGAACTCTACCACGTCGTAGTCTTTAGTCGAGTTACCAAAGGATAGACGACGACGCGGTCGCGTTCAAAGCATTATTAATTAAACGCGACACCGGCCCACTCACCTATGACCTCCATTCTCGCCTCGGCACTGACTGTGTTAAAGCTCGGCCCCTCCCCGTTGACTTCGCACTTGTACACGCCGCTGGCATGAAGATTTGCGTCCTGGAGCGTCACTGTCTGATCGTCCGAGCGAGATTTCTGAAACAGAAAGTGTGACCTCGTCTTACGACGAATCGTACGTGTGGTATAATACGCTGAAAAATGAACGGGCGTTATTTAAATACAAATTACCAATCTACTTAAACAATGTCGCATTTAAGATATTACTCGTCAGCTAATTTTAATATCACATTAATGTGACACTTGTCGTGTCACATTAAAAATTGTTTTCTCACTTATCGTATTTTACCGTGCAGAAAAACCTAATTTTACAAGCGTGCTGAATTTTTAATTGTAAAAACTGTTATGGAGAAATAGAAATCAAATTTCAAAATATAACTATATTATTAAAATATTATAAAAATAAGATTAATTGTGCATTAAAAATAAATTAAGAGGTGTATATGTGTATGTGTGTGTGTGTGTGTGGTGTATGTGTGTACGTGCAGTGCGTACGGTGCGTGTACGTGTGTAAAATGAATTACGAAAATGAGTGACGAAAGCATTGCATTTAGCACTACGCAATAATTCACTTAGACACTAAATTTTTTCAATCATTAAGGGACGGAATATAAAAATTTGTAAGTTTTTAATAAATGAAGATAAATTGCATTAAAAGTGAAAGAAGAAATATTTCAAATATGTCTAACGGACGGAATGGCGAGAGATCCATATATATTGCATTTGACGGTGCATGCAATATATTTTTAAGGTCGGATCTTCAATTGCGGGCTATTACTGGAATAGAATTATAAAAGTTTGAAAATATCGCAAATGAAGATAGATTGCGTTAAACTCGAAGAGAAGATATATTTAAGATGTACGTCTATTGTGGATGAAGTGGACGGATGAAGTGAAAGATGGACTTGACGGATTTGGCGATTCTTCCGAGCTATTAACGGCGCCGTTTAGCCAAGGTATAATAATTCGTGTCATTACGGTAAGGCGGAGCGGCGGGACATCGACTTTACGAGTCATTTCGTTTTTAGAGCAGTGAATCGTGCCGGAGCAGTTACGTCGTTACAAATGGCGGCCGCAGATCGCGCATGATTACGGGGTTGTTTTCTTTTTGCCGCGGGCCCGCGATCTGCGACTTTAAAAGACTCCTACGCTCGTTCGCTTTTTATTGCATTAAAACGCTCGTCTATTATACTCTGCTCAAACTTACGTTTCAGTGCAGTGGAAAAAAAATTAACTGGTATTAACAGGTTCGGAACTCTTTTACGAGAGTTGTGTGTACCTAAGAAGTACAAATCTCTCCAGGAAATTTTTGATATAATTAAAAGCAACCAATTTACTTGACATTAGATTAACATTGATATTTTTGCATAAAAATCAAAATATCTTCCCGTAACGTGCTGGCGAGACGCAATCACACCAATTGCCGAAAAAATCTTTGCATTATGTCAAGCTCTTACGCAAATAAAAATCATATCGCGCAAATGGAATTATTCTTTTTTCTAGTCGACTTTAAAATGCTGAATTTTTCAAATAAAAAATGAAGACGAGAAGAATAAAAATGAAGCTTGCGAAATAAAGGGAAACTATATGAATTCGATATTGGAACAATATCGATGTGTAAATATTAAGAAATTTCTGTTTTTTCTTTCAAATGAATTGCAAATATTCTTTTACTTTCGGTACAATCAATCTATTACGTAATTATGATACGATAATTTAATTCAATTACAGCTCAAGAAATTGAACTGTTCCAAATCTAAAAAAGCAATTTTGTCTATCTATCTAAAAGGCAAATATGGAAATTCAATTTTATATGGAACGATCCTGGCTGGCACTTGGATCGTATATAAAGAAATATATATGCGCACTTAAACGAGCGAGCAAATATACGTGCTTATTCCATTTATAACAGCATATATATATATATATATATATATATATATATATATATCGTGTATCTCACCGTGGCTGGTCCATAGTAGGTCGGTGCAACGAGTTTAAGAATTATGCGGCGGAGAAGCGAGTCTTTGGGTGTTCACGAAGCGGAAAATTGGAACACTTCTTTGCTATTCGAGTTTATGGAAAATACACTGCAGATATGTTCACTATGACAACTTCCCAGTTTTGCAATAGAACTAAAAGCTTCCAAACTGATGTTCAGAATAACGAATCAGATTTTCCCAGAATAGATTTGCCCAATAATTGCATAGATTCTGGCAATTTTCACATAATGATGATTTTAATAATACATAGTCAAAGAATAATCCAAAGATAAGCTTGACAAGAATAGTCTTGTTTATCGACCAAAAATCAAATTTTCCTATTAACATTTGATAGGTTATTTGTCAGAAAGATCTAAAATTGTCGTAATACGATCTTTTTTTGGTTGTAATTTATATACATATATATGTACACAAATGTCCAATTTTCATTTTTTGACTTGATTACATTTTGACACACTAATAATTATAGAACAAATATTTCAAGTGTTGAAAACAACTAAAACATATTCATCTACTCTTTAAATTTTTTTAAGTGAATCTCACTCAAAAACATCGAAAATACTGCCACTTGAGTGGCAGTATTTTTATTCTTTTGGAGTGAAATTCACTCCAAAAGAGTGAAAATTTATTTCAGAAAATTTAGAGAGTAGAACAAAATTACATGTAAGATAAGACGTCCCCCCCCCCTCGTAATTTCAATATAAAAAATTTTGTCCCTTTTTTAACAACCAAATTTCGAAAAAGAGTTATTTGAAAAATGGGATATCTGGTATGTGCGCTGATTCATTGTTGCAGCAACGTCTATTTGTCGATAAATTATCGAGAGGCTTATCCTGAAATACCTAACGCGGAACGATCGTAGAATTATATTGGATCGAATGAAAGAAGAATGTATGTTGTAGAGAAACGGTGAGAAAGATAAACGCCGTTACCGATAGAAAGGCATCGTGCTGTGGTACCCTGATGCGGGAGAAATCCGCGGTATCCGAAAACTTTTCAGGAAATACCTTTCGTGGGTGCGATAAAACTTCGCGCAACCGTGAGGAAGTAAGTAAGCAATGTCTCTTTCGAGGATCTACCAAACACCTTCGAAGATAGTGAAAGTGTTAAAGGCGCTATAAATTTTGAGAGCGCGGGAAGTAGAACGGTGTAAATGAAATCTAAAGAATTGCATCGCGCGAGTTTATTTAATAATGCTCCTTATTCAACAACGTTCCACGTTTCATTAATTATATATAATATCGTCGTGTCGCTTGTGCGATCCTTTGAAGATAAATTTGGCAATTAAAAATAAAAATGAAAATTGGTTTATACCTTTCAGTGTACACGGTAATCTTTTGAAATAAATCCCGGTTGGGGATTTATTTCAGCCAATACAATATACTTATTAGCCGGAACGAATACTTTTAAACGCTACACTGTCTCAATTACCGACTTTAATACAACGTATGAGTTTCAAATTATATCTTCCTCCGCCCCAGTTAAACGTTTAATGAAAAGCACAAGGACGTTCTCGTAACTAACGTTTGTCGCAATTTTGTTCGCATTACTACTGTTCCTGCTAACGATGACAAAGACGAAGAGAAGTCTGGTTACAGCCGGGACATATCTACTTCGTGATCTTTACGAGAAAATTCAGGGAAGTCGAAGTAGAATCGAAAAGTCGGACGACGGAACATATAAGGGGAAAGGTCGAGTAATACGCCCCCTCGTACGTCCGGGGAAATTTTATTACCGGCAGTAACACGTCCAGAGATTTTTCCAGCAACGAGGAAGTACAAACGCGAGTTCCAGAAGGAACGGAAACGCGAGGAAGGAAGGAAAGGCGCGCCGGCCGCGCGATCACGTGGAGGAAGTCACGAAGTATAAACGACGTGGTTCCTGCGCGGCAACGTTGACGTTTATCTCGTAGTAAAGGCGCTGTCGGACATAGAGTTCTTACGCCGACAAATCAATTTACGTCCCTCGAGAAAAGTTTCGCGAAAACAAGAGGGGAAATGACGGCGGGCGGCAGAGACCGTGAGAATCGTATTACCGCAGACAATATTTCCCACCGGCAGCAACTCGTTCCTCAAACGTTTTGCTTCTGCTCTGAAATGATAAGCTAAAGGGTCAAGGTGGGCACGTATTCGTCCCGAGAATATCGCTCGAAGGACCAGTCAATTCAAATCGATTATGTCGACTTTCAATTTCCGCTAATTCTGATCAATCTTATCTTCCAATCTCTCTGTGTTGTAAGAAGAATTGTGAGGTAAAAGAGTTTAATAAAATGAATTTTGTGATTCTGACATTTCTTCGTCTATATTAATGCAAAAGGATAAAAAGTTAAAGTAAAGTCATAAGTTCGTATCAATTAATTGAGATGATTGACGCAACTGATTAACCACCTGCAAAATTTTTATTGTAATAAATCTCCATAGTAACCGATTTCTCTACAAGGAAGGCTAAGCGTTAGAGTTTGGTTAGAAGAGAGTCCATAAACTAGCGGTTTACCGAATCGAGTCGAAAAAGCAGTCGACAGCGAGGAGAGAAACGCGCGATAACTTCCTCAAAGCATCCGAGATTGTTTGTTGGCATCGCTACGGAAGTTTCGCGTAAGAACTTGAACGAAGGGAGTCTGATAGATAGATGGAGAAATAGATAGATAGATAGATGGGGGGGGAAGAGAGAGAAAGAGAGGGGGGAAGGATTAAGAAAGATAGAAAGTTTATCTAGAAAGTAGGTGCGCGCTTCTAGCACATCGCGAAAGATACAGCTGTTGATTCGTTCTCGATGAAATTTCAGACTCGAGTTGGCAGGTAATTTCAAAGCCGCGTGTTACTTCCCCTTCCCTTTCCTCTTCCTCTTTCTCTCTCTCTCTCCCCATTCTCTTTTTCTTGCTTACTTTACATCCATATGTCTTCCTTTCTCAGCTACGTTCCTACGTAGCTCATCTTTTTCATCATTTTTCCAAGCACCTCGGAATCTCTCTCGGTTTTACGGCGAATTAGCGAGCACCATTCAAGCCGGATGCATCCGTGCCCGATGAAGGTAAACGCGATTACGCGAACGGGTGAGGTGAAAACAATTTTTACA